TCAAAACTAAAGCAAGGTAATCATCTAGAGTGTAACTTGGGAAGAGAAGGGGCTATTTTAGGGAATGTGGGCAGATCAGCCTTCTGTGAGAACACATTTGTACAAAAGCCTGAAAGCACAGAGCTGAGGCCTCTGGCTGGGAATGAGAAGTGCATACTTAAGGAATGAAAAGGAATTTTGTGGCTGGTGTGGAATGAGCAACAGGTTAAGTGGTGGAATAATACCATCCGAGAGATAGGTGGGGCCAGACCAGGTAAAAGCCTTGAGGAAGTTTGAGTTTTATTCTGAGTTCAACAGGAAAGATGCCATGAGAGGTTTAGCAGACCAATAACTTGATCTGTTTTATACTTTGAAAAGTCACATTGGACCCAAACCCATATGGACGCTTGGTTTATAACAATGATAGCATGCAGAACAATGCAGGGGGAGAAATGGATTTTTTTTTTCATTAAATGGTGCTGTGTCAATGGAGTAGCCATATGGTCAAAAAAATATTTAATCTTAACCCCTATTTCACACCATACACTAAAATCAATTCTTTGTGGATTGTAAATCGAAATATAAAAGGTAAAACAATAAAGATTCTGAAAGATACCAAGAAGGATGTTTCTTTGACCTTGAACGAACAAAAATTTCTTAAGCAGAACACAAAAAGCACTAACTATAAAGGAAAAAAATGATAAATTGAACTATGATAAAATCAGCAACTGTTCATTGAACGACACTAACAACAAAGGACAAGGGCAAGCTACAGCCTGGGGGGAAGATATTTACAATATATACGGTTTCACGGCGCCTGGGTGTCTTGGTCGGCTAAGGGTCCCACTCTTGGTTTCCATTCAGGTCATAATCTCAGGGTCGTGGAATCGAGCCCCACACGTTGGGGTCCCCACTCAGCAAGGAGTCTGCTTGAGATTCTCTCCCTCTGCCCCCCCATGCTCACCCACCTGTGCAGTCTCTCTCTCAAATAAATAATCTTTAAAAAATATATATATATTACATGTACATATTATATATGTGTGTATATATATATATATATATAGTGGTTTGTGGCCCAAGTGCCTGGGCAGATGTGGAACCACTGGTTCAGATGAGGAAGACCAGGAAAGGAAGCAGCAACAGTTAGATGCCTTCATATGTGACCTCATCTATTTCCCCCAGCAAACTTTTTTGGTAGCTATTTTTATCCCCATTTTACAGCAAAAGAAACTGAGGCTCTTAGAGATTAAATTATTTATCCAGGCTTACACAGGTCAGGGAGGAAACAGAATGGGAAGATTTTATCCAGGAGGCAGCCAGGGATAGTATTGGAGCCTGCAGCCTCAAGTCAAACAGCCAAGGTTTAAACCTGCCTCTGTCAGCATGCAGCTTTGGGCAAGTCTCTTCTTTTGTCTTTATCTGTAAAGCAGGGATAAGAGTTATACCCTCTTCATAGGGTTAATATATGTCAAGAGCTTTAAAGGAGCCTGATGCAAGTCAGCCATCTCTAAGTTAGCCATATCAGGGTCCATGTGGACTTCCCAGAGGGGTGGAGAAACAGAAGGTGGATTTTAGTTCTTGAGCCAAGACTGAGTTTCATTAGCATGGTGATTGCCCCTAAAAACACTGAAACAAATGATTGCATATAATGTTATTGCCACATAATAGAGACCATCAGGACAAAAATCCAGGAGCCAAAAGACATAAAGTGCATACAAAGGAGGAAATCCTGGCTTGGCTGGGTGTTGGCCACATGGGTGCCAAAATGTTTTTCTGTATGTTGGAGAGGAAAATTGTTGCAATTACTCAGAACCATTTTGGAGGGCTAAATTCCAGCTTCCCCAAGGTGCTCCAAGGTAGAGGGCCATAGGTGTTTACTTTCCAGAGTCAGGAGTCAAAGAATTCTGCACTCTTGGTTTAAGTGATGCTTCTCATCACTTCTCTCTTATTTCAATTATTGTAGCAGCCTCTAAACTAGACTCCTCCGATTTCTTCCCCAACAACAAATACTTCCTGAGCACCCACATTGTTCCAGGCATCATTGCGAGGTGCTAGGGAATAATACCAATGAACCCACAGGTATGATGCCCTCATGGATGCCCTCAGAGAGCACATCACTCCAGAGTGATATTTCTGTGAGTAGAAAGCACCTTACACATTGTAAAGGACTGCTCCAGTGTTGCTACTGTAGGATGATCAGGGGTAATAGTGGCAAGTGTTAAAGCAGAGCTCTTGCCTTTCAATGTGGCTCTCCATTGCCTTCAGGATAAAAGTCATAAGCCAAGTCCAAACTGGATTCCAGCCTCACTTCCCAGCCCCTATCCCTCCCATCAGCCTAACACTCCAACCAAACAAAAACACTAGCAGTCCCTTTATTCCCACACCCCAAGACCCTTGAATATTCCTCTGTCTGAAATACTCTTCACCTACTGTCTGTGGGGAAACTCCCACTTACTCCTTCAAGAGCCAATCCCAACCTCCCGTAACTCTGCCCCACAGGTAGGTTCATCCCTCCCTCATCTCCTTTTGCAGCATTCTCTATATGGTTGTTTCTCAGTAGGCGTTAAGATATAACAGAACAGCCCGAGAATCATCTTCAAATCTTGGGCCAACCCTGCTCACCAGTCATTGGCTTTCAGCATGTCTGGGGTGCATAATGGCTAAGAACCCAGGGCTCAGGTCAAACAAGCTCAGGTTAAGCCCAAGCTTCACTCTTTACAAGCCTCGTGACCTTGGCCGGGTTACTTAACCTCCTTAAGGTTCTGTTAACTCCATAAATTGGGAATAGAAATAGGCAGGAATGATTCGTTGCAACAAAGTACGTAAAACACTTAACACAGTAGCTGACACCTAGGAAGTGCTGAACAAATTGTAATTGTTACTGAAAGAATTTTGGTTTATTCTGCCCCAGGCAGCCTATCCATTTCTTCCCCACCCCACCCATCTCCAGGTTTGAGAATCAAATTGTATTATGATCCATTGTTTATGTGCCTGTGTCTCTTACTAATGTGAAACCCTGGAGGGCAGGAGGCATGTTTTAGTTCTAGATGCCCTGCACATAGCACAGTTCTGGAAAGAGCATCACTATTTGCAAGTTGTGTAATCTCGGTCAAGTCCGTCTGCCTCTTGTGGCCTCAGAGATTTTCAATGTTGAGGAGAATAATGCTTACCTGAATAAGGCTGTTATGAGTACCAAATGAGATTATGGATGTGGAAGTGTTTTGTGTGTTGTGAGATGAGTTGTCGTTACCGTTATGCCATCCAGGGCAAGAACACGTGATTTCACAGCCACATGTCTGTGGCCCTCCATTTCCTCTTCTTTCTCATTCCATGGAATATCAGTGTGACCCTTTCTCTTCAAACATTCTTACTCACTTTATACCAAACAGAAGATCCCACAATGATCTGCACAGTAGCTCCAGCCTTCCCAGGCAGAGAGAGAGACTACAGATGCCCTGGTATGAGGTAAGATCCTGCGGCAAGCCGGACAGATGTGATCCCTGCCCCAGTAGAGTTGTAATGCTAGTTGAGGGAAAGCCGATGATAAGCAAGTAAATCTATAAATAAAATCATTTAGAGAGTAAAAATTACTAAGAAAAATGAAGTAGAAAATGTTACAGAGTAATTGGGGGAGCGAACATTATATAGAGTGGCTAAAGGTCTTTTGAGGAGGTGACATTTGAGCCCAAATTCAAAAGACAAGAAGGATTCAGCCATGTGAAGATCAAGGTTAAAAGGGCTCCAAGCAGAGAAACAGAAAAAAAAAAAATGTTTAAAGCAACCTGGTACAAAATGGAGGTTACTGTAAGTGGAATTGAATTACTGAGTCAGGAGAGAGTTGGTGGTGATGAGGCAGGAGGGGTAGACAGGGAGGCCACCATGTGCGGCTTTACAGGCTGTGATTAAAAAAGAGACAGAGCAAGAGAGAGAGAGAGATTGACAGAAATCAAACGAACAGTCAAGGGAAAGGAAGTTACTTTGACCTCTGCTTCTCGTATGTGCATACAATTCCACATCTCTTGTGTGGGGGTGCCTGGGTGGCTCAGTTGGTTAAGCGTCTGCCTTCGGCTCAGGTCATGATCCCGGCAACCCGGGATCGAGTCTGGCTCAGTGGGGAGCCTGCTTCTCCCTCTGCCCGCTGCTCCCCCTGCTTGTGCTCTCTCTCTCTCTCGCTCTCTCTGACAAATAAATAAAAGCTTTAAAAAGAAACATCTCTTGTGTGTCAGTCCTCGTGTTAGGAGATGGAGATACAAAGAAAAATAAAATATGGAACCCATTTTTATGAGCCTGGTAACTGAGAATATAGATGCATGAGTAATTATAATACAATATGAGAAGTCTCCTAGAGGGATGTAAACGCTGAAGGAGCTTAAGGAGGGAGTGATTGACTGTGCCTTAGGGATCAGGAAGTTCTCATTGAGCATGAGGACACTTGCAAATAAAGTATAAATAGTAAGGGGAAGGAATGTTCCAGCCAAAGGGAGCAGCAGATGCTAAGGCACTGGGGTGAACTTGCTCAGAATGAGTGGTTATCTGTTCCGATGGGAACACACCTGGAAAGGAGACCCTGGATCTTGCTGGTGAAGGACCTTCAGTGCCACACCGAAGAGTTTGCATTTTATTATGGATGCGCTGTATATATAGAAGGTTTGGAAAGCTCTCTCTAGGACTTGGTAGATAATAGACTGGAATGAGATATTAGAGGCACTCACCAGAGGTACGGCAACAGAGCAAGTACAAGACCTGCATGTGGTTGTTGGTCACGGAAATGGGGGGGGGGAGTAGACTTCCAAGGCAGGCTGCCCTTTGTCCTCTAAGTAACAGGACCCTGTGTTCCCAAACTTCAGGGCAGAACTGACTCTGTGGGGAGCTCCCCCCATGTCTCTTCTTGGTTTCACTGCTGGCGCCCTCTCTCGTCCCCGTCGCCAGCCCCCGCCTCCTATCTCAGGAAGCTTGGGTCTCCCTGGGAGCGGGTCTGCCCTTGGGGGAGGCCTCTCGGCTTTGTGCCCTACAGCTTGGCTGACACTCGGGGCGGACCGAAGAGGGGCTGGGCGCCCCCCGCGTGCACATGTGCTAGCCCAGGCAGGAGGGAGTGCCTCAGCGGAGGAGTGCAGAAAGGGGGAAGGAGACGCGCGCCAGAATCTCGGTCCCGGGCGCCCTGGTCGGCCGCGGAGGAGCTGCAGCCTCCAACAGGTTCGTAGAACGCACGCTCGCTCTCTGTTGCTGAGCCGCCACCTCCTCGGCTGGAGCAGGTTCGCCGGAGAGACCCTAGCCATAGGCCCCGCGCCGCCGAGCTCCCTGAGGGTGGCTTCCTCCGGCCCTCCTTCCTTCTCCCGGTAGCTCTCAGCCGCCACCGGCTCTTCCGGGGAGAGGCGGAGGGCGCCACGGGCTCCTTCTCGCTTCAGCACCACCTCGGGGACAGCTCCCGCGCCCGGCTGGGTCCTCTCGCCGGGTCAGCACTGCACCGGCAGACGACCGCCATCCGCCGGCTCCTCTCCTCCTTGGGTCCGGGTTCAGTGCCACGGCCTCCGAGGACAGTCCCTCGTCCCCGCGGACTCCGCTCCCCGCGTCAACGCCGCGGCGGCAGGCAGCTCTTGCCGGCCGCCTGCTTCCTGGCGAGCCGCGAACAAAGCCGATGGGCTGGGGCCTCCCGCGTTCCTCTCGGGTGGGTGGTTGCATCGATCGGGGATTTCGGCTTCTCCCAGAGCAGTGTCTGGGGCGAGCTGGGGAGGGGAGCCCAGTCACAATCGCGCGTCTCTGGCTTGGGTCTGCAGTTCGCCAAGGCCTGGCCGTGCAATGGCGGGTCCCAGCTGGAAGTCGGAAAGAGGGTGGAAGGGGGGACGGGCACAGAAGGGTCTGGAGTCCAGTGGGGTGGGCTGGGCCTAGGCTAGAAGGGAGGAGTGCTCTGCCCCCTCCTCCCTCCAGACCCCCACTTCCACCCTAGCTCAGGACCACGGACTTCCTTCGGAGAGCCCAACACAGATGCCCGAGGCTGACAGCTGCAATCACTCCCTGGAACATCCCTAGAAAGTGTGAGGCTGAGTTTCCGTGGAGGGAGGGGGCCAAGAAACTGCGGGGAAGCCTCAGGAACCTGGCAGATACTTGCTTTCCCCTCCCTCCTGACCAGGGTTCCGCCCCCACCCCACCCCGAGCGATGCCCGAGAGGATGAAAGGGGGGAGGGAGGGACCCTGGCAGCAGGTTGTGAACGGGCGGCTTGGCTCCGGGAAGTTGCAATTAGTAAGAAAAGAGGTTGAAGGAGCATGAGAAGCTGGGAGGTTCCCAAACTGGGAAGCCAGCTCCGCGGCAGAAAACCACATGTGTAAGAGGAAAACCTTTCTGTGCGAGCTGAAGCTGGGAGGGCCCTTGCCTCACGTGACCCTCTCAATCACTGGTAGTCTCTCCTGGGGGAGTCGGCATAGGGGGCAGAGGTGATTTGCCCAAGGTCACTCAGCAATTTAGTAGCAGAAATGGGCCTAAAGCTCGGGCTCCCCCAAATCCTGGGCCTGTTGTGTAGCATTCACGGAGAAGTGTTTTAAAACCCCCGATGCAGGGAGAAGAGCAGAGTTGTTTCCATTCTGAGTCCAGCTCTCAGCTCTGTCACTTACTAGCACGTGACCTTGGGACAGTGATGAGAAGACAGGTTAATAGTACCCACTTGTAGTGAGGATTTAATGAAATACCTATATAATGAGCTTAGGGCAGTGTCTGGCACATAATAAGTACTCAGAATATGAGCTATCCTTTCTGCTATTATTCCCTCTGTAAACATGCGCTGAAGATCTCTTATGTGCACTGGCTGTGCACTGAGGAGACAGAGAAGTGTCCTGGGGAGGGCACAGGCCAGCAGAGGAAGCAGAAAAGAAATCACTTGCAATATGATGCGATAAGTGCTGTAATCAAGGTGCGTACACAGGGCGAAGGGCAGGAGTGATGAGCCCAGCTATGGGGAGAGAAGGGGAAAGGTACCTCAAACACATGGAACTGTGTGGAAAGGCCAAAAGGAGTGAGATCAGAGCCACCAGGGTGATGTCACTGTGCTGGACGGTCCTCGAGATGGGGACTGTGAAATGAGAGTAGAGAGAAAAGCTGGAGCCAGTCTCCAAAGGGTCTTCTGTGATGAAATATTTCAACCCTATTTAAAAAAAAAATAGAGGGGCGCCTGGGTGGCTCAGTCAGTTAAGCGACTGCCTTCGGCTCAGGTCATGATCCTGGAGTCCCGGGATCAAGTCCCACATCGGGCTCCCTGCTCGGCAGGGAGTCTGCTTCTCCCTCTGACCCTCTTCCCTCTCATGCTCTCTCTCCCTCAAATAAATAAATAAAATCTTTAAAAAAAATAAAAAATAAATAAATAAATAAATAGAAAGAATAGTATAATAAACCCCCACATACCCATCATCAAGCTTCAACAGTTGGCCAATTTTGTTTCATCTATACCCACACCCACTCTCATCACACTCACACACACACACACACACACACAGAGACTTTTTTTGAAGCAAACCCAAGACATCATATCATCTAGTGCAGAAGGATTTTAACATCAACAACAACACCCTGCCATTCAAATGTTGTTCTACCTTGGAAGTCTCTAACTCACACTATGACTTTCCTTCCACAATCTGTTCTGAACATTCCTGTCCTTAGCAGAAAGTTTTGAGAGAGTTTTATGCTATGGTCATGAGCCATGTGCATTATTAGAGGAACTATTTCAGAAAAAATGGAGGGTACATCAGCCTCAACAGATTTCACCAAGCCAGAATTGTTTATCTCCACTACCTACACTGCGACCAGAGGCCAGTAACTATTTGCAAGGCTGACCCAAAGACAAATGGAGCTCCCTCAAGAAAAAGATGAAAGTAAGAGCTTCCCTTTCAAATTCATCTGAACCATAAGCTTATGAGAACAGGAGGCTCGAAGTCATGGAAATCCTTGACTTGGAAATCATCAAACCCAACAGCCTTTTTACAGATAAGGAAGACAAGGGTCAGACATAGAGAGGAATTTACCCAAAGTTCCACAGTGCTGAGACCAGAGCCAAGACCTTTGAACTCATAATCAAGAGTTCTTGTCAGTTCACCATTCTGCCTGAAAGATTAGGTCTTAGAGTTTCTCAGCCCATAAACCTGGGATGCCATTTCCTTCCCAAGCTCAAAGCACTGGAAGGAGGAGGGGGAAGTGGGGCAAGAAATGTCCTTTCTGGTTCTCAAGAGGAAGAGGATGACTATATACAGCAGTTGGTCTTTGAGACACCTTGACACGTTTTCCTTCCTTATCTTTCTGAAGAAAGTCTATGATGGTGGTGCCTGTATTCTGGCTACTATGTGCATCTCCTGCCTCGTCCCTTGGTTCTCATTAACAAATATCTGCAGTCAGACACCCACACCTCATTTCTGCACATTTTTGCCCACCCCATTTGTCTCAACCAGATGCATGTGAAGCCTCGCTTTTTCCATTTGCCCCAAATTGGGCTGCACATCTCTCTCAGCTACAGACCACCATTCCTCTGACGTACGAGTAGTGTTTGGCCCAGGTCCTGGCAGGACTCAGAGCTCTTGTGCCTTTCTAGATCATGAAGTCTCTCCTGTTGCTGATGAAATGCAATGACTGTGACGGGTATGTGTGCTCCCATCAGGCTCTAGGCACTTCACAAGTCAGCATTTTGCTTTTCAGGGGGCGTCCCTGCCTGCAAAATGGGGAAGGCAGTATCTCACAAGTTTCCCTGAGTCTTAGGTGGACAAATTAAAGCACACGTAAGGAGTTCTAAGCATCCCTGGTGAAGAGAAGTCGGCAGAGAATGGTCAATAAAATTACCTCACTTCTGGGAGTATGACTGTAGGCGAGACATAGAAAGGTGATAAAGATAGTGAATTTCAACTTGTGCAATTATCCCAGCTTTTAGCCTCAGATGAGACCAATTCAAATATATTATAATACATATATTACATTATTAGATTAGATTAGATTTTATTATGATGATATAGGTTTTCCCCACTATCTGAAAGTTCGCTTTATGTCACATCACTTTTACAGAAGACCTACATTAGTAGGTCACTTCAGTAACCAAAAGAAATTTGAAGAGGATTCCACTTTTACAAAATGGTAATTGCTTCTTTGCTTTGCACCATTTTGGTTTACAAAAGGTTTCATAAGAACACTCTACTTTCAGATAGAAGGGGAAAGCTGTACTATTTTATACTGTCTGGGCCTAGCTGAATTGCAATAGGTAGGATCGATTCCGAAGGGACCTTGGTGAGCATTTATTCTTCCTCCAACATTTACTCACTGAGTGGCTGTTTGGCGTCAGGCATGGTTCCAGGTATGGAACAAGACACCTCAGATCCCTGCTCCCGTGGGGCTTACAGACTTGCAGTAGACACAGTCATTAATAACAGTTAGAAAGTAAATATGAAAACATTTAAGTAGACAGACAGATAAGGAGGGTCTGTCTGAAAAGGCGACATGAAACTCAGGCCCCAATAATAAGAAGTCAGTCAGGGGAGGATGTGGGGCCACACATTCCAGAAAAAGGAAATAGCTCAGGAAGAGGCCCCAAATGTGAGCCTGGTCTCTTTGGGGGACAGGCAGAAGGCCAATGTGGCTGGAGCAGGGAGCGAGGGGAAAAGTGGTAGCAGAGGAGCAGAGAGGGGCAGGCACCAGTCCCTCGTGCAGAGCCTTCTAAGCCATGGTCAAGATTTGGGATTTTATTCTAAATGCCAAATGTAAATCACTGGATGATTTTAAGCAGGAGAGTGATATAAACTGATTTTGCTTTAAAAAGATGCCTCTGGTTACTGCATGGAGAATGGATAATATGAACACACTGGGCTGGGCACAGAGCAGGCAGATAAGGTGACACACAGCTTCAGCCCTTGAGGTGTTCAGCATCCAACAGAGGAGACAGGACATGAACCAGAATAGCAGAACCCCGTGGGAAGGGCTGCCATGGGGAGGGATGTGCAAGGCATTAACACAGAGCTAAGAAGAACCCATTCAGCCTGGGAGGCATCAGGGAGGGCTTCATGGACGTGGGCAATGGCTGTTGGAGTGCACCTGGGAAAGGAGAAAGTAGAGCTGGTACCAAGGACAGAGAAAGGTAATTTAGCAGCAGTGGACTACAGGAGCTGGGAGCCAGGCCGCCCGGGTTCAGATCCCAGCCACACCATTTAGTACTGTGTGGACACACACAAGTTGC